AACCACCAAGAAGACAGAGCATCACTTGCCCCAGAGCCCCTATCTATACCTTCTGGCTAATAGCCACTGGTGGACCTCTGCTCCATATGCTTATCTAATTCCCTTTTGAAGCCGTCCATGCTTGTAGCCGTCACCACTTCCTGTGGCAGTGAATTCCATGTGTGAATCCCTTTTATCGGTTCTAACCCGACCGCTCAGCAGTTTCATGGAGTGCCCACGAGTTCTTGTATTGTGAGAAAGAGAGAAAAGTACCTCTTTCTCTACCTGCTCTTTCCCATGCATAATCTTATAAACCTCGATCATGTCACTCCAAGCTAAAGAGCCCTAAGCGCCTTAACCTTTCCTCATAGGGAAAGTGTTCCAGCCCTTTTATCATTCGAGTTGCCCTTTTCTGCACTTTTTCCAAAGCTATAATATCCTTTTTAAGGTGTGGTGACCAGAATTGCACACAATATTCCAAATGAGGTCTTCTTCTTCCTCTTCTTCTTCTTGCCTGTTATGGGTGGGGTGACCCAGGCTTTGCTCTTGGACACATGCGGTAATAGGACTCAAGGGCTGCCAGTTAGCCTGAAACATTAGCCTTTAACATCCTGGTTTTTTCACTGCCTTTCGCTTCCTTCAAGTATATCCAGAAGGGTGCCCTTTCAGGGGAATTAAAAATTAGGTTATTGTCTCACACAAGCCCAAATCATTGAGTTTGGGCTGGGCGTAAGGAAGGTCCATAGAGCTACAAGACTAGCTTTTAATTGAGGGGGTGGGACAGATTCTTAAGCAGATCTGGCTGTCTCCTCAAGAGGTGGCATTTTGTTGCACTTAATCCCTACCATTGTTCATATTTCTTCTTCTTCTTCTTCTTCTTCTTCTTCTTCTTCTTCTTCTTCTTCTTCTTCTTCTTCTTCTTCTTCTTCTTCTTCTTCTTCTTCTTCTTCTTCTTCTTCTTTCCTATTTTACAACATGGGAAATATGCATTAGTTGGAGTTGACACTGCACAACTTTCAGCAGTAAAACACCCATTAGAACCCGAGGGAGGCCAAGTTAGCCATCACCAGGGCTGGAGCTTTCTCAGTGGCGGCCCCTACCTGGTGGAACGAGCTCCCGGAGGAGATCAGGGCCCTGCGGGACCTCTTGCAGTTCCGCAGGGCCTGCAAGATGGAGCTCTTCCGCCAGGCATTTAAGTAGGGGCCGCCGCTATTGCAGGTTCCTACTGCAGGTTGTTACAGCTGAGCATCGTGGAACATCTGGGCAGTGGCAATTCATCCCTGTAATATACCATCTAGACTAATTTTTATCTGCTGCCAGCACTTTGTATTTATAATGTTTTATTGTATGGTTAATATTGTGTGTTTTAATGTATTTATGCTTTTATGGAAGCCGCCCTGAGCCCGCTCGCGGGGAGGGCGGGGTATAAGTTTGATAAATAAATAAATAAGAAGGATTTGGCCCTGGGGGGGGGGTCAATCTTTTTTAACAAGGATACCTTTCTGTAATATACTTAGTCCTCTCTTCTTCTTCTTTTTTTGGATGCTGATATTCATTTTCTTTACTTCCCCTAGTTTTTATTTGATTCATTTATTTCACTGATCAAGAGGGGGAAGAGCACCAGCGTCGCTTCAGTGCTGCCCAAGGCCGCCCCGGCAACGTCAAGAGCTGAGGTCAGTCTATTAATGTGCTTTTTGTTTAGCCATCCATCACCCAGCGACTGAAGCTGTTATTGAAGGAGAGGAGGCCAAATGCAGTATGCAGAACAGGTCCCTGGGATTTCATAAAACTGGAGTCCTGGTTTCGTTAACTCCTCTTGGTTTGGAATTCTGGGACAGAAGTTAGAGGTTTTCCCACGGCCAGTCCCATGGTGTGCAGTAGCCTCCCAAAGGAAACGAGGTGCTCTGTGTGTCTTGTACTGTTTCAGAGGGGTTGTAAAACAGACCTCTTCAGAAAAGCCGGGGGCCCTGAAGAGGACTGGTTGGTGGCTGTCCTGAAAGACACTGGCCACACAGGGACATATGGAAGGAGAATGATTGATAAGAACATCAGAAGAGCCCTGCTGGATTAGACCAATAGTCCATCCAGTCCAGCATCCTGTCTCACACAGTGGCCAACCAGTTCCTCTGGAGGGCCAACAACAGGGCAGAGAGGCCAAATCCTTCCCCTGAGAAGAACATCAGAAGAGCCCTGCTGGATCAGACCAGTGGGGGTCCATCCAGTCCAGCCTCCTGCCTCACACAGTGGCCAACCAGTTCCCCTGGAGGGCCAACCACAGGGCAGAGAGGCTGAGGCCTTCCCCTGAGAAGAACACCAGAAGAGCCCTGCTGGATCAGACCAGTGAGGGTCCACCTAGTCCAGCCTCCTGTCTCACACAGTGGCCAGCCAGTTCCTCTGGAGGGCCAACAACAGGGCAGAGAGGCCGAGACCTTCTTCTGAGAAGGACACCAGAAGAGCCCTGCTGGATCAGACCAGTGGTCCACCTAGTTCAGCAGCCAACCAGTTACCATAGAGAGCTGTTTTATTCTCAGTCCCTTTCCTCATAATCCTTAACACAGAGTTTGCATTTTTCACTGCTGCAGCACACTGGGGTTGACGCTTTCATTGAGCTCTCCACCATGACCCCAAAATCTTCTTCTCTCTCAGGATCAGCAAGTTCAGGCCCCATTAGCCTACACTTGAAGCTGGGATTCCTTGTCCCAATGCGCATCACCTTATATTTACCAACACAGAACATTGTCACCCACTTACCTAGTTTTCAGAGGTCCTTGTGTAGCTCTTCACAGTCAGCCTTGGTTTTCACCATCCTGAATAATTCCGTATCATCTGCAAACTTAGCCCACTACACTACACGGCCCTGGTTCCAGATCACTGATCAACTGATTAAATAATACCGGCCCCAGCAGGGCTATTTTTTGGGCAGGAACGCACAGGAACGGAGTTCCGGCTGGCTCCCAAGTTGGCCACGCCCAGCAGGAACTCATTAGCATAATAGGCCACACCTAACAGCAGAAACTCTTTAGGATTGGCTACATTAGGGGTGTGTGGCCTAACATGCAAAGGAGTTCCTGCTACAAAAAAAGGCCCTGGGTTTTGTCAACAAACAAGGTAAAGAGAATAAGAAGCAAAAGCTGGGTGTGGCTGGACGACCACACTTCTGGTAAGGTGGGGGTGTGGCCTAATATGCTAATGAGCTGTGCTGTCAGGGGGTGTGGCCTAATATGCTAATGGTTCTCTGCTGTTGGGTGTGGCCTATTATGCTAATGAGTTCCTGCTGGGCTTTTTCTACAAAAAAGCCCTGGGCCCCAGTACCGACCTATGTTGGGAACCCACGGCTGACTTCTCTCCATTGCAAGAACTGTCCATTGATTCCCACTCTTTGCTTCTAATCCATAAGAGAACCCTTCTTCTTATCCCATGACCGATTGGACAGGAAACAGTAAGATTATGGAACCAAGCACAGAGGTGGGCCGAGTTTATGAAAAGCATCCTCAGTATTGCTTTCTGGGCAAGCATCGTAAGGAACAGGGTCCTCAGCGAACTTGCTGCTTGGACTCGCAGGCTGGCGGGCTTACTCTTGAGAAGTAGCCATGCAGCTGCTCATAGCAAGCGACAGACCAGATGGAGTCGTCCCCTGCCAGATCACCTGCTGGAGATCAAGAGCTCCCGCAAAGAGGTGCCGTCCTAAGAACACAAGAACATAAGAGAAGCCAATGTTGGATCAGGCCAATGACCTATCTAGTCCAACACTCTGTCACACAGTGGCTGAAAATACCAGGTACATTCAGGAGGTCCAGCGGTGGGGCCAGGACACTAGAAACCCCTCCCACTGTTGCCCCCCCCCCAAGCACCAAGAATACAGAGCATCACTTGCCCCAGGCATAAGAACATAAGAGAAGACAGTGTTGGATCATGCCAGTGGCCCCTCCAGTCCAACACTCTGTGTCACACAGTGACCAAAACCACCAGGGCCCATCAGGAGGTCCAGCAGTGGAGCCAGGACACTAGAAGCCCTCCCACTGTTGCCCCCCCAAGCACCAAGAACACAGTGCATCCCTTGCCCCAGACCGAGAGTTCCTATCTATACCTTGTGGCTAATAGCCACTGATGGACCTCTGCTCCATACACTTATCCAATCCCCTCTTATAAGAAAATAAGAGAAGCCATGTTGGATCAGGCCAGTGGCCCAGCCAGTCCAACA